TCACACACATACACACTCACACACACCACACACACACCACTCCTTTTATTATATCACATGGTTATTATTCATTTATTTCATTGTTTATTCATTTGACACATTGTTTAATTAAATGTTATAAAATTCAGATTTTTGCGTCCAGTAGCTTTGTTGTGTCGAAGAGAAGTCTCTGCTCCAAGGATTCTACGAACTTCAAGAAAGACTGATAAGAGTTTTGGATTCAATTTTTCCCCGGTTAAAGGGGAATGGTGCCCCGTATATCTAAGAATATCTTAATTAATTAATAAATCAGTAAATATTCCCATATTTACAGAATTTATTGAAGAATCCAAAAGTAAGTTGAAGCTTACTAATTGTTCGCTACCGAATAACCCCAACAGGGGAAAGCCTGCTTCTGTCTGGCCCACTGTTTCAGACCTCTCTGGTAAAGGTCGTCCCTTGTCACATTAATGTTAAAGGTATTAGTGTTGTCAACTCTTTCTTGTAGGAACTTCAGGATGTCTGATAAGCTATTGACAACAACATTGTGTTTATTATTATTTATTTTAAAACCTACACATTAACACAAATGTTTGTAAAAAATCAAACCAGCTTAAGTGCTTGGAAGAGTCATCCACATCCAGTATGATGCTGTTCAGATGTGTGTGTGTGTGTGTGTGTGGGGGGGGGGGGGGGGAGATTAAATTCTCATATTGTGTACAATGTGCATGGGTAAAAACATGTACCTGTCCTCTTCCTCTTCACCACAAAAGCTGGCATGCAATTGTATAGACTCCTGAGTAAATTCTTTATCACACAATGGACAAGAAACCTATTAAAGACATTTTTTTAAATCAGTGACCAACAATCAGTGTTCAGTAAACAATAAATGTGCACAAAATGCTACTACCTCCCATTAATTTACATGGTTTATTTTAATCTAAAGCAGACAGACTGCTGGCAGATATGAATTACTGCGCTGATTAAAACAATCCTTTTTCATTCACTTATCCAACTCTGGGGAACATGGCACTAGAAAACATTTCTGGATCTTTCCCTGACAGATATCTAGCCCCTCATAACTCGATCCCAGCACCTGGATGAAGCACCGGACATTTTATTCCATGTAGGACCCTAACCCACCTAGCTGTGCCCCTGTTGTAATATAAAATGTGAGGAGTCGTAAAAAGTAGCATAACAAAACAATTTTATGGAATAAACTGCAGCTAGTAGCCTTGACAAATAACTTACTTGAGCGTCTTGTTGGTTCTGGTCCATTTTGCTGGTGCAGGTGAAACTCCCGCTCCAGATCAGGGCGGGTATTAGCCAGGCTGTTAGTGCGCAGGTGCGGCAGCCACACAGGAAAATCCACAGAGCGTCAAAACGAGCGCACCCCAAAGAGGTTTGTTCCCGCCCAGTCCCACAAGTCTTTCTATTGGCTGAGCGGTTGCTAGGAGATTGTACTTCTAAGTTTTGAGCGAGAGCAGATAAAATCCGTGAGAGCAGGGGACAGACTTGTGGGAGGAGTTTTGATCCTTGCAGAGAAAAAGCTGTCACGTGAGAAGACAATACCAGTGTAAGAAGGTTAAATCTGAGCGCAGAAACAAAGATTTGAAGGAAAACAGAGTGAATTTGAAAGAGAGCAGACATTTTGAGCGCAAGCATTACAAGGTTTGAGAGCAATAATATAAAATCTTATTCTGAAATTAAAAAGTTGGTCTCTTGATATGAAATTCTGCTCTCAAATTGAAAGTTCAAGTGCTCAATTTCTGGCCCTTTAATTCTTCCACGCCTTCAGAGTGCCAAAACTACCAACAGCCGAGCGAGCAGAATCAGAAACCAAGCGTGCAGAAAGGCTGCCACACGCGCAGTGAGGCTGCCGCGCGCATGTTTTCCTCTGCCGTGTGCTCGTTGCCCAACGCGCGCACGCAGGTTTGTCACTTGTGCACATCCTTGTGCGCTCACAGACAGTTTGCTCCCTCTCAGTGTACAAATGACCTCCTTGCCATGTATATTTTCACTCGTGAGTTCTAACCTCCACGCGCGAGTCCCGTTCGCACACACGATGTGTACTATACGCGTGCACGGGTTTTGGCTATGCTTGCACGGGTTTTGGTGGAAACCTGACACCATACTACTGCAAGCTGTGGTGTTTAAAAGCAGACTTCGATGGTACAAGAAGGGTCCTAGGTGGGGCCAGAATATCATCACACCACCAACAGAAGGATAGACCAACTGAAATAAGAGTCATTAGACCAGAAAGGGTGTTCCCAGTTTCTTATGGTGCAGTTCTGAAGAGCCTGTTTGAATTGTTGCCTCAGTTTCCTGTTCTTAGTCGACTGGAGGGACACTTGGTGTGGTCTTCTGCTGCTGGAGTCCATCTTCTTCAAGGTTCAACATGTTGATGCTGTTCGGCAGAACTTAGCAGGAAACGGTGCAGTTGAGCCACACCAGTCAATCTTCTCTGACACCAAGGTGTCTTGATACACAACAGTTCAATGAATACTTTCTCTTTCATGATGATTCTTTATAAATCTGAAATGGTTGTGGGTGAAAATCCCAGTAGATCTGCAGTTTCAGAAATACTCAGACCAGTCCATCTAGTACCAACAACTAAGTCACTTAAATATTTTACATGAATGGAGTTGCTGCCATGTTGGCTGGGTAGTTATTGTATATATATATATATATATATATATATATATATATATATATATATATATATATATATATATATATATATATATATATACACACACACACACACACACAGTGTGGCAAAAAAGTATTTAGTCAGCCACCGATTGTGCAAGTTCTCCCACTTAAAATGATGACAGAGGTCAGTAATTTTCATCATAGGTACACGTCAACTGTGAGAGACAGAATGTGGAAAAAAATCCATGAATTCACATGGCAGGATTTTAAAAGAATTTATTTGTAAATCAGGGTGGAAAATAAGTATTTGGTCAATAACAAAAATGCAACTCAATACTTTGTAACATAACCTTTGTTGGCAATAACAGAGGTCAAACGATTACTATAGGTCTTTACCAGGTTTGCACACACAGTAGCTGATATTTTGGCCCATTCCTCCATGCAGATCTTCTCGAGAGCAGTGGTGTTTTGGGGCTGTCGCCGAGCAACACGGACTTTCAACTCCCTCCACAGATTTTCTATGGGGTTGAGGTCTGGAGACTGGTTAGGCCACTCCAGGACTTTAAATGCTTTTTACGGAGCCACTCCTTTGTTGCCCGGGCGGTGTGTTTGGGATCATTGTCGTGTTGGAAGACCCAGCCACGTTTCATCTTCAAAGCTCTCACTGATGGAAGGAGGTTTTGGCTCAGAATCTCACGATACATGGCCCCATTCATTCTGTCCTTAACACGGATCAGTCGTCCTGTCCCCTTAGCAGAAAAACAGCCCCAAAGCATGATGTTCCCACCCCATGCTTCACAGTAGGTATGGAGTTCTTGGGATGCAACTCAGTATTCTTCTTCCTCCAAACACGACGAGTTGAGTTTATACCAAAAAGTTCTACTTTGGTTTCATCTGACCACATGACATTCTCCCAATCCTCTGCTGTATCATCCATGTGCTCTCTGGCAAACTTCAGATGGGCCTGGACATGCACTGGCTTCAGCAGCGGAACACGTCTGACACTGCAGGATTTGATTCCCTGCCGTTGTAGTGTGTTACTGATGGTGACCTTTGTTACTGTGGTCCCAGCTCTCTACAAGTCATTCACCAGGTCCCCCAGTGTGGTTTTGGGATTCTTGCTCACCGTTCTCATGGTCATTTTGACCCCACGGGATAAGATCTTGCGTGGAGCCCCAGATCGAGGGAGATTATCAGTGGTCTTTTATGTCTTCCATTTTCTGATAATTGCTCCCACAGTTGATTTTTTCACACCAAGCTGCTTGCCTATCGTAGATTCACTCTTCCCAGTCTGGTGCAGGTCTACAATTCTTTTCCTGGTGTCATTCAAAAGCTCTTTGGTCTTGGCCCATAGTGGAATTTGGAGTCTGACTGTTGAGGCTGTGAACAGGTGTCTTTTATACAGATAATGAGTTCAAACAGGTGCCATTAATACAGGTAACGAGTGGAGGACAGAAAAGCTTCTTAAAGAAGACGTTACAGGTCTGTGAGAGCCAGAGATTTTCCTTGTTTGAAGTGTCCAAATACTTATTTTCCACCCTGATTTACAAATAAATTCTTTAAAAATCCTGCCATGTGAATTAATGGATTTTTTTTCCACATTCTGTCTCACAGTTGAAGTGTACCTATGATGAAAATTAATTACCTCTGTCATCATTTTAAGTGGGAGAACTTGCACAATCGGTGGCTGACTAAATACTTTTTTGCCCCACTGTATATATATATATTTTTTTAATTAGAACATTTATTCTATTTTCATGGCAATATTCAAAAATATGCCACAATTTCACATAATACTTTCCATGACAATAGAACAGGAGTGAGATGAAGAAAAAGTCTTACGATCTCCCACCACTTCCTACTTCAATATTACTACAAACTTAGCAGACTGACCAATGCCCGAATACGATAAAACACAATTACTCTTCAAACCTCAACAGCGTTACCAATGTTAGTATCAACTGTACATTTTTCCTTTCCATGCAACAATATTTAACTTCCACATTCATTTTTATACAACTTGAGTAGCTTCTGCGTATACTGATACTTCAATTCAAAAGTGTTAGAACAACATTTTACATTATTTTCTGAGTTCCACTGTACCACACCAGTAACTGAGACACACATTTGTTTGAGGGTAGTTCCAGCAAAGGGTTGTTAAAAACATTTGTTAAAAATGCTTTGAAGTCCATGTGTCAACAGACTTTTTCCTCACTTAAGCAACAAACTCCATTTTTTATCTAATTTAAAATGAGGCCCAACATTAACACTGGACTGATTTTTAAAAAGATTTTTGTTTTCATTTTAATCACCATTGTTAAAGCCATCGATAACCGCCCTTCAGAGTAAAAACAAAAAAGGCCAGCTAGTTTAAAACAATTTATTTGAAATGATTTAAATACAAATAATATATATATATTTCCCATTTACAATGACAGTTCCTTTGTAAACAAAAGTGGCAGATAGTCATTTTTCAGGGCTTGTCCAGGATGAGGTGGCCTGCTGACCACTCAGCTTGTTATGAGGGATGGTGGGTTTTTTTCCTCACTTTTTTCTCTTTTTCCTCCAAACCGCATTATTCTCTGATGCTACATTCTATTGTTTAGTGATAAATATTCAGAATGAATAACTTATTAAACACCTGCTTCTAAGAGTTTGTGCCTGAGAGCCGGAGGGAGAAGAAGCAATTTAAATTTCAAATTTCTACCTCTCTCACACAGACATTACACACTCCTTTGTACTGTAGAGAAAGACATAAGATATTGGCTGTAGATTAATAAAACTGAAGAAACACGGTGAGAGATTTTTCTCCCCACAATCGAACATGGAAAATTAAACAAAACCAAACATTTAACACAAAAATAACTAAATGGGATGTCATTTTGCTTCACAAAACCTGCTTCCCAAGATAACAAAAAGGAAAAAAGCTTTTCAGATACTCTTAAAAAGGTTGTTATGCTTTGATTTAGAGGAAAAATTGGCTTCATCCCAAACTAAGAAAGGTTTTATTCCGGACACTCCTCCTTGCCAAATGTAGCAGGGATCTCACATTCAAACCCCTAAAACTAAGTCTCATTTTACACAAAAATGCAAAAGGATGGATCGTATTGAGGGATCAAACTCCTTGCTGGGATGATGTGAAAAGATGAAAAAACTAGGAAAAATAAAATTCAAAGTTGTATTTGACCAGTGCATAGCACCAGAGAGCTTGTATATAAAGTTATTTATTTTATTTGGGTTAAAGGCCTTTTAAAAACAATAACTATTAACTGGAATGTGCTACAGCAATGAAAGAAGTATGCTAAAAAACCACGCTAATGTACATTTGTCCAACAGTCCCTTAAAGAGACTGACAATGCTCATGTGCTATATGAAGATGATGAGTCGACCTCAGTTTATAACACTGTCACTTCTGTCATTTCTCCAACGATTCATGTTGGGATCCATTTACAAGTTGATTCTTTAAGGATCATGTTGAGGACAGAACGGTCATCGTTAACAGAACCAAAAGCAGATTGTATCTCTGTAGACGCATCGGCGAGTGCACACTGGTTTGTACAAGTACATGGAAATACAAGGATGACAAATTAAAACAAAAACTGTGCCCCCTCCCCCATGCACTGAAAAGAGAAGAATGTTTCTTTAATAGTCGACTCCAAAGTTCCCAGACAAAGAAGTCTAAAGCTTTGTAGATTCTGTCTCAAAGGTTTTGTTACTTTTAGCAGTTCTATAATCCTCACTCTTCCTTTCATAAAAGAAATAAGGTCCTCCAGTGCAAAGTGTTCCTCTCATACCTGTACAGACACTTACACACCTCTCACACACTCACTCAGGCCTGTTAGTATTCACTGAATTCACTTCCGCCAGCAGCAGACAGTAAATGAACAAATCTCTGTAAAAGGAGGAAATCGGAGAAAGGAAGAGAGGTGGGGTCACGGTTTACAACATTTTGTAAAGTTAACATGGTGGAGGGCTCTGCGTGTAGAAACTGTCCCCAGTGATGTGTCGTTTGTGGCAGGCACAGCTTTGCTTCTCCTCGTCACTAGTGGATAGGCGTCACCTTCGACTGCACATTCAGTCATTGTCCTCATCCTCGTCATCGCTCTCCTCAATGCCTTCGCTGTCCTCCTGCTCCTCGTCTTCTTCCTCTGTGTCGGGGATGTCCCACTGCGGGTGGTTGTCCAGCATAGCCTTGGCCTCGTGGACCTCCAGCTGGGAAAACAGTAAATTAGCTTTTATAGCTCCGTCTGCGGCTGTACTTCATGTGCTACCAGAACTTTAGATTAACTTTTGTATTTGCTTTTAAACAGCCTCCATAATACATGAGGTAATGTGCATTGGGATTATTTAGCTTTATGTGACTCCCACTTTCCCATAATTCACCACACATCATCTCATTTAAGGAGTGGGTGACTCATTTAATCAATACAAGTGCAGTAGTCTCTAGTAGGAATGAATGCCTTGTAATTCGTACTCAGGGGAAAGAAATACTGATGCACCGTTTCCAGGAACTAGAAGTGAACAACATCACAGCTGAGCTTCAGACGGCAGGATCTGGAGTCGGAACGAGCCCCCGCAGCGTCAGAACAAATATCCCAGCTTTAAAGCTGATCTTCATCTGCGTACGTCACACGTCATGTGATCAGGAAGCAGAAAATCCATGTGTTTTGGGCCGCCGCTGTAAAAAAAAAGTGATGCGCAAACCGGAAAAGCTTCTGCCGATCACAATTCAACAACGGATTATGAAAGAACGGATAACGCTCAAAACGCAGACTCTTCCTGATGTAAGAGGTGAGTCTCCTCTTTGTTTTGTTAGTTTTGGCATTGACATCACCATAGAGCGCAACGTTCTGCGACTCAACGAGGGTTACTTGTGGAGTACCACAGGGTTCAGTGCTTGGACCAATTCTTTTTACTATATATAGGGCTGAAACAAACGATTATTTGGATAATCGATGAATCGGATGGGGTCTCGACACGATTAATGGGATTACATGGGGAAATTTTTTTAAAACTGCTAGGGAAACGTTTTTTCTCTCCTTCCTTCACTTTATTAAACACAACGTTATTAGAAAATACTTCAATAGCAGAAGAACAACGCTTTCACCTAAAATGTCTTACAGCTGCTATTTGTGATGACAGCTGCTTGTTGAGGTGTGAATGATTTGCTTGACAATAATAAGCTGCTCAGTGTTTGTTGTTTTGCCCTGGAGATCAGAAAGAATAAAGTCAGCCTATTATGACACAACATGAACTTTTAGCATAGCAAGTAAGAAAGTGTTGACTCCACCCAGCCCCTTCCATGTGTACCATGCGGCTCGCCAGACAACACCTCTTTCTGCCAAATTTTTCAAAAAATGAAAAACCAGAAATGAAGCCTTCAGAATACTTTGGAAGGGGATGAGCAAGGGAGGATAAGGTGTATAGACAGAGACCTTAAGCTACACCTATCTGTGACCTAAAATGCTTGGTCCACGTTAAACAGCTTCAGGCAATTCTCATCTGTCTTGTTTGATCTCATCTGTAGACATTTATTATAATTGGGGATGTCAAATGACTCATTTTTAAATGTAATTAAACATAGGCTGTGAATTAATCAAAATTAATCACTATTTCCAAAAACGACTGAAAAAATACCAACCAAAGCACACAAAAAAAATAAAAAATAAATTAAAGCTGCAAGCAGTGTCGTTCGGCCCTCGCAGCAAAGCTGCTCGCCCTCCTTCCGCACCCCCTCCGCTCCATCCCCGACGCTCTCCAAACCCAGCTCCGCGCTTCTCCATCCTGGCCGGCAGCCGGGGGCACCAGGGCACGTCTGGCAGAACAGAAAGTCAACCAACCCGACACCAGAAACCGTGAACGGCCTCCTCGTCCACACCTCACCCTGACTCAGCATCCCCTCTGAGCCCACCATTACACGTCTCACCACTAGGAGATACTCTATCTTTACCACACTGGTGATGTGATGTTCGGTCTCGGGCAAATCGGAGGCTGTTTGTGGAAGTTACAGTCAAACGTAAGGTCACAGCGTCACGCCAGAAATCGCCATGGCATCAAAGCCCCTCCCTTTCTGAAAAGCTATCAGATCTGAATGGTCATTACAACATCATGAAGACAGTGCATGACCTTAGTGTCATCTTGACTAAATTAGAGGAGACAAATATGGGCATTTCATCATAAAACAGTAGACTTCCTGTAGTCAGGGGGCGGGGCTTAGGTGATGTCAGCTGTCCACATTGTCACTGTCTTCAGATGTGGTCAATGATCACACAGACACAGTTTGAAATTGATCTGATCATGCACATGGGAGTTATTAAGTCAAGTAACGTAATGGCGACTGGTCAAAGTTTGAGGCTTAGCCACGCCCACACCTTTATACTTATTTAAAATCCGACGGTTGAATTTTTTCCTCTATGTCTCAAGAGTATATAGCAGGAGTTTGAAGGTGATCGGTGGAAAGGACGACGAGACATCATTCTCCTAATAACGTGTGCGAAAACCACTAAATCGAGTACTTGGACCAAAATGGCCGACCTCCTGTGTGACATTGTACTTGGCTCCAAGAGACTTTTTTGTAGGTCCTGAGACACTACATTAGTATGCCAAATTTCGTGATCCTCAGTCAAAGCATGGCTTGGGGCTGACAGTTTTAATGGTCCTAGGTGGCGCTATTTCAGAAAATAGGCCACGCCCACAAACTTCAGCTGTCCAATTCTATTAGGGGTCAGAGTAAGATCACTCACCAGAAATTGTGTGGCGATGTCACAATGATTGAAGAAATGAGAGACAAACGTATTTCCATGGCGTGATGGCGAATTTCGCCATGCTCCCAAAGCCCCGCCTTTATTCTAAACCTGCCTGTACTGGAGACCAAGTGACCTCAACTTGTCTGCTGCTATTTGCCAGTGATTGCTGGTGATTGGTTAAAAGGAGTCCAATAGGGAGCTGTGAAAAAAGGAGTGGCGTGGCGACAGGTCAAAGTTTGAGGCTTAGCCACGCCCACACCTTTATACTTATTTAAAATCGGATGGTTGAATTTTTTCATCTATGTCTTAAGAGTGTATAGCAGATGTTTGAAGGTGATTGGTGAAAAGGGCGATGGTGCAACACTCTCCAAACTACGTGTGCGAATACCACTAAATCGAGTACTTGGACCAAAATGGCCGACTTCCTGTGCGACTTTGCACTTGGCTCCAAGAGACTTTTTTGTAGGTCCTGAGACACCACATTAGTGTACCAAATTTTGTACTCCTCAGTCAAAGCATGGCTTGGGGCTGACAGTTTTAATGGTCCTAGGGGGCACTATTTCAGAAAATAGGCCACGCCCACCGGATGTTCACATCAGATTATTTTTGGGGCCAGACTAGGATCACTCCCAAGAAGTGTCGTGGCGATATCTCTAGAAATGACGAAATGGGAGGCAAATGTAAGGCCTAAGCGGTACGCCTGACTTCGCCGCACCGCCACAGCCCCGCCTTCTGCAGAAAACTCCCATAAAGTGACGCCAAGCAACCCCAACTTGTCTTCAGTTACCTGCTACAAATCTGGGATGATTATTTGAAAGGGCGAATTTTGGAAAATTTCCCAGTAAAACTTGACCTTTTAAGTCCTGAGGGGGCGGGGCTTATGTGACATCACCAATCGACCATTCATTTGTCTTCGGAGGGCGATGACGACCGTCCTTAGAAATTGCTTTAACTGTAATTCTTTCATTTGTGAAATTATAGCAATTTGAATTTTTTTGGCGAGTGCTCGAACTTTGAGGCCTGGCCCCGCCCTTTCAGTATTTACGAAAAGTCAATTTTATTGTCTCATTTGAATCGTCCATCGCTTCTGTTCGATCTCGCACTATTTTGAGACAATCGTGCGAAAAATGACCAAACTGTTCAACCAAATATAGACCCTAGAAATGGCCAAAACGGCTAAAAATCGCCATTTCAACCCAAAATGGCCGACTTCCTGTTTGATATTGACCAAGGTTGCAAGAGGCTTTTCTGTGCGGACTGTTGAGTAGTACCGGTATACCAAATTTTATAACTGTACGATAAACTAAGCTTTATGGAGAGGGGTATTTTTCACTTTCTAGGGGGCGCTGTCGAGCCATTTTTTAATCAACTTTCACACCGCCAGTGAAATACGTAAATTTCACGCACTTTCTATATTGAGCCAGAATTTGGTGAGTTTTTGGATATGCTAAGACCCCCTAAAGGCCATTCAAAGACGCGGAAGAAAAAAAATAATAAGAAACGGAGCAGATACAGTAGGCCTTCGCAGCTTCACTGCTCGGGCCTAATAATGGATGCCGCCCTCCTTGTGATGATGCCCTAGGAAACTGCCATAAGGTCACATCAAGAAATGCTGCTGATCATTCCAATGACCCCAAATTCCATTTCCAAAACATCACCAAAAAACTTAACATTTTAAGTGGACTCACATTAGGCCACATGAAAGCAACTGAACTCAAAAATACATTAACCAGTATATAACTGCACTCTCACACAACACGCCTACAGCAACAGTTAGGACACCCCCCTCCCTTTTAAAAGTGTTTTCGCTTCCGAGGACATTGTGGTTGTAAAGCCACATGTTAGTCTGGCCCCGGGATGATCAACCAGTGTCTGCGGGAACGTGATGGCGGAACCGGTTCCAAACACCTGCCGGCTCTCCCTCGCGCTGATCTGACTTGCTCCGGTCTTCACGCAACGGCGGGGGGGGGGGGCTTTGGAAGACTTGTGCAACACAACGAATCGATGACGCAATTCGTTGCCAACGCTTTTAGTAATCGATTTTATCGATTCGTTGTTGCAGCCTTAACTATAAATATATGCTCCCAACTGGTAAAATTATTACACAGCATGGGATAAACTTCCACTGTTATGCTGACGATACTCATTTATATTTATCCATTAACCCTGATGAACCTAATCGGTTGGGTAGATTACAGGCTTGTCTTGAGGACATAAAAAATTGGATGACTCTAAACTTTTTGCTTTTAAATCAACACAAGACGGAAGTTCTCATCTTTGGACCAGAAATCCAGAAAAGGAAATTGCTTAGCCAATCACCTGACCTGAATGGCATTACATTAATCTCCGAGAACAAAGTAAGGAACCTTGGTGTTATCTTTGACCAGGACATGTCATTCAAATCCCAGGTTAAACAGGTTTGTAGGATTTCCTTTTTCCACCTTCGGAATATTGCTAAGATTAGAAGCATCCTTTCCAGGAGTGATGCTGAAAAACTAGTTCATGCATTTATTACATCAAGACTGGATTACTGTAATTCATTACTCTCAGGAAGTCCACAGAATGTAGTTGAAAGTCTTCAGCTTGTCCAAAATGCTGCAGCTAGAGTTCTGATGAGAATTAAAAAGAGAGATCATATCTTTCCTGTCTTAGCTTCCCTACATTGGCTACCTGTTAAATTCAGAATAGATTTTAAGATCCTTCTTCTCACGTATAAAGCTCTTAATAATCAAGCTCCATCATACATCAGTGATCTGATTGTTCCATACGTTCCTAACCGAGCACTTCGCTCTCAGACTGCAGGTCTACTGGTGGTTCCCAGAATATCTAAAATTAGGATGGGAGGAAGATCTTTTAGTTATCAGGCTCCGCTCCTGTGGAACCAGCTCCCAGCTTTAGTCCGTGAGGCAGACACTTTGTCTACTTTTAAGAATAGGCTTAAAACATTTTTATTTGATAGGGCTTATGGTTAAAAACTGATGTTAGCCTAAATCTGGACAAGTGGGGGAGTACAGGGAGGTGGAGTGTTCAGTCGGTAAAGACGGCTCTCCCTTGCCCTGCCTCCAACATGCCTCCATCTAAATAGGAAAGATTATCCAGAGTTATCTCTGTAGTTATGCTGCTATAGGCTTAGACTGCTGGAGGACACACTGACCACTTTTCACACTCTACTGCTTTCTTCTACAGTCTGCTCTTTAACTGTATTATTTTCAGCAATTTCAGCTGTTAACTTTATTTTCTCTCTAAGTGTTTTTCTCCCCAGAAGAAGCTACAACAATGTTCTGCTGAGCTGTGGTGGCCTCATGGAGGGGGCCATCGTCTAGCACACTGCTGCTAACCACTTAAACATTCTCCCTCTCCTGATAATAACTCTTTGCTTTCCTTGACGTTGGACGTGTTACTGCTAGTTTATCCATTTAATCATAGATCCACTAGGATAAATACAATAAAGTTTATCGCTCACCAAATAGAATATTTACTAGAACATCACAATATAACTATAGACACATTACTCTCTCTGTCTGTCTGTCTGTCTGTGTGTGTGTGTGCTCTGTCTTCTCCATCCCCAGTGAGTCGTGGAGGATGGCTGCTTATACTGAGCCAGGATTCTCTGGAGGTTTCTTCCTGTTAAAAGGGAGTTTTCCTCTCCACTGTCGCTTTATGCTTGCTTAGTATGAGGATTGCTGTGACTCGATGCAATTTGCTGGGTTCCTTGTATAGGAAACATTATTTCTGATTGGCTTATTGAACTGACCTGAATTGGAATGTTTATTATGTGAAGTGCCTTGAGACGACTCTTGTCGTGATTTGGCGCTATATAAATAAAATTGAATTGAATTGAAAACGCTGAAAACCGCTGGCAGCGAAGGGCTTTTCTGATCAGGAAATGGCTGGCAGTGAATGAGTTAATGTTACTGTGGACACTTTTTGGCACCGATCAGTGACATCACTCACAGTCAAAGCAGTCGTGATACGCTGACGTCTGTTCGAAGTTCTGAAAGGGCTGGATTTGAATGGAGACATAACAGCTGAGAGGACTTGGACACCTTATCTCCTGGTCATTTTTCCCATCCCAGGAATTATCCTGGAGTTCCAGGAATGGAAACACAGCTATATCTGGCAGGGTAATTTCAGCCTTTATTTGTATTTTCATTTTCACTCCTAAAATCTAGCTACAACCTGTAAATCTAATTATCAAAACTCATGGCACACGCATTTCACATATTTAACTTTCTAGGGCCGCATTTAGAAAATGTGTTGGGATCCAATATGAAACGAAGCCTATATTTCCCTACACTTTCGACACTGTAGCGTTATGGATGACCATCTTTCTGGGACAAAGTTCACGTTCCAGCTAGGTCACAGCTGGGTCAAGATATAACCTTTATCCACAGATTAAAGCCATCAGGAGCCGGAGTGTCTGAAGAATAATCATCAGCCTGACTGTTTATCTGTGTCCATCCCAAGATGAAGGACATCTTCAACTATTATCAAATAACTTAATAAAAGCTTATTATTATTAAGGTTTATAATAATCATCATAAATAATCATCATTTTCATATTAAATGTATTTTAATTAATGAAATGACTTATTAACATTTGGTTAATAATAATTATTATTTATGATAATCAGTAATGTTTATTCAGTAACCAGAAGATGCCTTTGCACGTGTCCAGCTCATGCAGGATTCACTTCAAGGTAAATGCTTCACATTGACCCACATTTCCAGCTTCCTATCGGGAGAGGGGTGTGTTATGAGGTTTTTGTGAAAACTAAGAGCTTTTGCAGCTTAGAGTCAGTTATTGAACCAAGCTGATGCTTTCGTGGCGACGAGAGCATCCCGAGGATTAGGGTCGGCCGCCCAGCCTCAACACAGCTGTTCTGTCACGTCGACAGGATAGCCTCGCACCTGTAACTGCAGCTAACGCTAAGAAAGCCTAAGAACCAGCTAACGCTAAGAGATTCCTTAAGAATCTGCCCAGACGCAAAACCAATTTTTCCTGTGCACCTGACATCAACTCTTGGACCAGAGCGTCGGTAACTTGGTCATCTGCCGGACCTGAGTGCCCCGAGCTGACAGCTCCCCAGACCTCCGGATCCATCCAGAGGGTCGTCTAATAGGTGAGGTAGAACACAGAAGGCGTCTGTATGCATTTATTTATATCTAAGAATCTAAGGTTAGCTGCAAACCAATGCTTCACCCAGAACTACTCTCTCTCACTCTCACTCTCTCTCTCTCTCTGAAAGAAAGCTCTGAGAACTTCATTCACGCATCCAAACTCATCATTCTCAAATTAGTTTTCCATCCAACACAGGGGTTTGCTTTTAAACAAGTATAATATCAAAGCAGTTAAAAATTGTCATTAAAATTGCCATCCATGAATTGTCATTTTATAATTGTCGTTTCAAATCTTTCAGTTTAAAATTGTTAGTAATAAATTTCTTCACTTTTAAAATTGCCTCCTTTTTGAAACGAAACACAGAAAAGGTATAAGATTTCTGGTCATTTGAAAGCAAAGATCCTAGCTTCTGATTCAAAATAACTTTTGCTATTACATTTAATTATCTAAATTAAACATTAATCTTTGGATTTAAAATTAGATCAAACAGGTTGATGTATGAACTTAGATCGTTATACAAGTATCTGGGATATTTATATATACGATATAAGCTTCATAGGTTAATCGGATTGGTCATTTTCGGAATCTCCACTGAATAGCAACAGAGGTGTTTTCAGTATGCAGATTAACTCTACATAAATGGGGAGCCAGCCAGTCTTTCAATAATTAGTCTTATTCATTAATCCGGCGAGCCATTTTTCCTAAATTAAAACGCTATTTCTGTGTTTTATTTTCAATATTTTACTAAAAACGGAAGGTGTCCCACCCTAATTTTTTTCCTCCGGAGATTTCCAGAAGGGAAGCTTTCACGGTGACACCGACATCCGACACCCGGCGAATTCAGAAGCAGCGTTAATCCACAGATCTTGTGGGACTGTTTTAAAGACACCCTAATTGCTAAAGTAAGTGAATGTGTTGTTTGATTGTGTGTTTGACCGTTTATTTCTTCACAGATTAACTCTACAACACCGTGTTAAGTGTCCACATTCCCTACATTTGTATCTCTAATTTAGTTAAAAAAATCCCAGGCTGCATCACTATCAGATCATGCCAAAACAAATACAACATGACCCCCAAAGCACACTCAAATAGCAACCCAATGGAAAGAACTACTAGTTAACATCAGCCCATCTTTATTTAACGGCTGATCCGATTCTTTCCAGATATTTTACTGCATAGAAAGTGACTTACGTAAGATTTATAATGAGACCCCGGGTCTTCAATACCAAAATACTCCATTTACCTGGGTACCGTCTCCATTTAACCTCAGCATTTGCCTCCAGGTTTTAGGATAAATGTGATTTGTTATTAAAGTGATCAATAATTGCTGACTAGCAGAGACATAAACCTTAGTAAAAGCTAGTCATCACCTTAAGTGGTTTGATCTGGTCCAGTCCCAGGTAGGAATCAGAGCGGAGGATGACGGAGTACTGGTAGTTTCCGGTTTTGGAGGGAGCAGGAAACTTGAGCTCCACCTGTAAAACAATGGAAATGAGTGTCAATAGCTGAGAGTAACCTCCAACTTATTGCCACGTGCCCCACATCATGCAAGATCTCTGTTTGAAACTTTACCTTCTGCAGTCAACCACGTCTGTTGGCAAAATACACAAAGAACTACGCTATGCTGTTTCTGATGCACCCTGCCTCTGTTTCATGTTGCCAGGTGTGGCCCTACACCTAAGCAGATAAAATAAAATGACTTTTATTCAACAAGCTCACCCAATCATCTGTCAGCAAAAGGGCAGAGTGAGGAAGGTAGTGTGAAATGAACCGAACCATGATGAAAGGGTCCAAGTGTAAATATTAGACCGCGGCTGCCTCCGGCTGTGATTATTAGTTTGTGCAATTAGACCGCAAACATCTAATTATCGGCACAATGAGGCCATTTATTATTCAGCATGAAGGTGCAGAATAAAGGCTGAACATGGCTGCTTATTTATGGCCCCGTCCTGTTGGGGAAAGCAGCCAATCTGTCCTCCCTAAACAAACAAACAAACACACACACACACACACACACACACACACGACAGGAAGCTGTGATGACAGACTGATTGATTGCTAGCCAGCGACCCATCGTGCATGAAAGGTGCAACTCCCTACGGAGCGCTGACGGACGGTCACGCAGCGTCACACCAGACACTCGTTAAGCGTTCAGCTCGCTGACAATCTGAGTTACTGTTGGAGAACACCGGAGTCAAGAGGTGGAATTGTTCTAAATAACCACACACACGCACGCTCTCACAACCCTGAGGAAATAATGACAAGTGAAAAGAGTTGCCTAGCAATAAAATTTGAAGAGTTAGACTGCACAAGTAGAAACATCTTAATTGAGAGCTCCGGACCTCAGATTATCGGTGGATCTAAAACATTTGAAGAAAAGACAGAATCAGATAAAACTGATCACTTAAACATGAATGGGGTGGAGCCTGCTCCCACCTCTTCTGAGTCTTTTAGCGTGCAGACATGGTAGGGCATGGAGACGAGGGTCTGATCCCGGCGGTCGGCGATGTACAGCCACCACCACTCCTGCTTCTCCTCGGGGAAATAGAGGCTGTAAGCGGGATGCGTCACCTTTGATTTGGTTTCGAGTAGCGCCCGCTCTCGCCGCTGGATGCTCTGCTGCAAGGCCTCCCACTCCTGAGAGGGTGAGACAAGCCGAGAATTAGACTTCCAGGGATTTGACACAAACTTCTCTGAATCTTAAATGCTCTCTGACCTCCTCGTCGTCTCCGGCCACCTCGTCTACTTCGGTGTCGCTCTGTTTGTCGCTGTCCTCGTCTCTCTCGCTGGGCGAATCTTTATTAGCCTCACCTTCATCTGATTCGCTGCCTTTGTCTGAAGCTTCATCCTCTTCCTCCTTTGCTGCTACTGCTGCAGCCGTAGCTTCCTGGGACCAAAACACAACAAACATTCTTCAAAATCATGTGAAATGAGGAGGAGTTTGAAACAGGAAGCAGCTTTAACATGGAGGGTTACATTTCCTGTCACGTTGCCGTTAGCCTGCTTGGTTTTAGCAAGAGCGGGAGTGGCCTTCTTCTTGGTTAACTTTTTCCTCTTGGACTTGGCCGCCTTCTTCGCCCCTTTACTCTTGTTCTGCCACACTTTGGTTTTAGCTTTATTTGCATCTCCCTGTTTTAAATATAAAAAAATTAAAAAACAGCAGGAATCTCAAGTTAATAAATTTACAAACAGCAGGACCCTGACGTGTCATCAGTTTGTTGTTCTTACCGCTTCCTCTGTGTTGGCCGCCTCATCTCCTTGACATGTTGATTCCTGCTCTTTTTCAAATATATCCTGCAAACAAACCAAGTCTATCAACAGCACACCCTAGTGGTCATCCAAAGAACTGCATAAATAAAGGTTAGTTTCACCTACCGACATGCGCTTTCTGGTTAAGGTGACAGTTACTGTCACGATTGAGCCTGCTGTGATGTTATTGCTGTCCTCATCATCAAGGACTGTTAAAGAGAGACAAACATTTTAACGCAGATTCACATCCACACAATTGGCTTTTCTCACATATATCATCTTCAGGACACCAAATGGTGTGAAGATGCATCTGTTAGAGCTTACCCTGAAGTTTGGTATCCATGGTGATGTGAGGGAAGGTTCCCAATACCGCCATGACCTCATCATACTTCTCCTCCCCCAGGAAGCGCAGCATGCTGCGTCTGTCGGAGTCCTTCAGACTCACCAGATCCTGCAGGGTTCGCACCTTATACTAAAGAGAAGATTGAAACCGATGTGAGTCGAGCCTCACGTTCAGCATTTGTTACGGATTTGACAGAATTTGCTGACATTTCCTAGCGTTTTTTGCAGTTTTTGCAGCAGAAACACACAATTTGTTTCTATTCCAATAAACGTGCAGAAACCACTGCTCGCCATCGATTAGGAAATACATTAATGTTTATGTTTATGTAAAAAACATAAATGTTCAATTTTTGAAATAAATTACACAAAAATGAGGAGAAGCATGAAATAATTGACCCTCCAACTTCCAAAATTGATTAAATGTAGTTCTGATGTATTAGTGTCATTCTCGTGTCATTCTCCAAAATATCTGATCATAACCCACTAAACTAATGAAACAGTGCTGAAATGTTTGGGAAAAGGTCACAGATGTGAAGTGAAAACAAACACAGGTAGAGTTTACCTTCTTAGAAATGCAGTAGCGGAGATGCTCCTCCTCAAAGTGAGGGAGCTGCAGCAGAGGCGACTTGGACTCCTGCAGACCCTGAACGATCATTTGGGTCAGCTTCATGCAGTTCTCAATGGTTACCAGTCGAGGAGCGTGGAAACCTGAGGAGAAGCAGGTCAGTGCAAGTGGTGCTCGCTGCAGAACCACAATGGCGGAGCTGCATCAGAAGGTGGAGCTGCACCAGAGTCAGCCCCGCCCATTCCAGAATCAGCCCCGCCCATTCCATCAGAGTCAGTCCAATTCCTTCCAGTTGTCAGACTTGATAGCATTCTGGAACCAACGAGGGTGTTATAGCTAAAAAATGCAACATTGAGGATGGAGTTGAGAAGTTAATTGAACAGTTTTTGTAAAGGTTGCATATAATTAAAAATCTAACTTTTGCAACTTTTAATCATGTTATATTGTCATTTCCTCATAAGAAACACGCCAAAGTCATTTTTAGCCTCATTCATGCATTTTCCTCCCATCTCAGCTTCAATTTGGTCTCCTCCCCCGAAGCGGGTCTGGTCTTGGTTCTCAAATCTGGATATTCTGTGAATTTTCTGACAAATTATTTCTGAAATGACTTCTACTGAGACACCGCCAATAAACCATACAACCCATCTCAGAGACACACTGGGTAGGACAATTACATGTAACGCCACACGATTTATAACAGATGTGGTGGTGTAGTGGTTATGGAGTCAGGTTGATATGCAGTTTTGCGCAGGTTCGCCTCCCAGTAGTGTAAGTTTTAGGTAGTTTACAACCCCTTTTCTTCATTTCTAGCTACACTTGCCAGTACTATGTTTACAACAATTTACTGGTATACTGTTTAACATATGACTAATGTGTTTATTTATTTATTTATGCGTTTATTTAGCCAGTGTGAGTCCATTTGTGAGCAGAGTTTCAACTAAAATGCTGTTTAGGAACGACCAAATTCAAAGAACTTTTAGAGACATAAATATTTTTGCTGAAAATAAACATTACAACTAAAATATAAACAAATTAAATGTTTCAGCTGGCTAAATAGATTGCTGACGCCCCCACCGAGAATCGAACCAGCATCAGCTGAGGGCAAAGCAAAAACTAACTCGGATGATCTTGCCACTAGACTACCAGAGCCCATTCAAAAGTCTGACATGCTGTCGTACACCAGTTTTGTTAGACCGGCTGTGGGCAGATATTCGCTAAAAGAAACCTTTTCATTTCGAGATATATTCAGTCTTTGTCATGTAGCACATTATATTTCTCTTGTTTAATTGGAGCATAGAACATAGCATTAACGACTGTAAACTAGTAACAGCCGTAATTCATGTGGGTCAGGTCAGTTTGCGATCAAGTTGAAAACAAAAACGGAAGTCAGTGGGTTAGGCTGAGATTGCGTGAATGGGCGGGGCTGACTCTGGTGCAGCTCCACCTTTGTGGTTCTGCAGCGAGCACCCTCTCGGTCAGTGTGGGGAAGGGATCAAAGGATCGTGTGATGCAACTTGTGTGTGTGTTGGGTCTGAAACGAATCATGGAATGGTTCGCTTCATTAAATTCCTCGATTCATTATTTAATGATTGGAAGCTTTGTTAAATGTGCAAACCACAGTCTGAACAATTTTACTGGTGCACTATGTGGTAATCTAGATGCTGTGGAGAAAAAGCAAAGACACAAACCACAGGAAAAGGCAGAGACGCTCTAAAGTTTAGGATCAAGAGTGAAATTACAAGCAGATTTGCTAATACTAGCAGTTAGCACGCTCATGATTAAGTGGGGTTCAGAAAAAACGTGATTGTTGTGAATAAATAAACTCTAAAACCGGAAGAAAAATCCCACCCTCTTGTTTTTGCGGATGTCTGCCGTTGCAGCGGTGTGGGAGAGAGCCGCAGCAGCTACCTTAACCGCAGCAGGCCTATGTCAAGCTGTTGTAGCATGTAATTCACAAACGCTTCTATATTTGAATATAATTTAGTCTGAATTATGTTGCCAACCTCTACATAATAAAATAGATATGCCACCATTACATTATTACCAGTAGAAATGAAATGTTTTAATTTCCTAGCCTGGCCTGTCAGATGACTCCTCTGTTTAAAGGGACTTAACGGAGTTTTGAATTTTTATGCTTGTGATTGCCCCCTCGGGCCAAAAGCGTAACGGCAGCTTCAATAGTAGGCTCGTCACGAGGTGCGCATGCTGTATGTGCACACTCCTTAACGAAAATAACAGCTGAGACAGTCCCGTGTGTGTGTGTGTGTGTGTGCGTGCGTGCGTGTGTGTGCGCGTGCGTCCCAGAGGACAGAGGACAGGAGAACACGCAGCTAATTAATTAAATAATGTGGTTCTGTACCTTTCTCTTCAGCACAGCCGACAAAGGTTTATGATGGGTCAGTCCTCCTGCATGCTCAGATCATTCCCTTCCCTTGCTTGAAAAATTGTTCCAAAATGAAAGTTGAACCCACATCTTTTTTATCTGTGAATTCAATGCCGTTCAGCGAGTCTCAAATAAAAATGTGGGCATCTTACTGTAAAAAATATACCATTGATGTAAAAAATAAACTCTAAAACAACTATGTCACATCCAGAATCAAACCCGGGTCTTCTGCACGTCTTATTAGACGAGATAAACCACCAGTGACGTCTTCTGTATCTGTAACATTTATATTCTTGATGACAGCTAAAACAACGTTCAAAGAACGGTTTGGAGGGCTATGCCTGAGCGTGAACGTGCATGAAGCAGCCTGCTCAACCCGAGCAACTCTCTTTTTCTGTGATTTTACAGAAAAACAGGCGATCACAGTAAACATGCCAGGGCTCATTCTACAGGACCAGGGCATTGCAGGAGAATGTATGAAGCAGACATTTATTATTTCTATACATGTTTTGGCTGTCAAACTTCCATAATGTCCCTTTAATTCTGCACAGAGAAAGGGTCTGGGAACTCTCCTATTCAAATAACCCCACCCCCTGAGAATTCTAACCGAGCCAATCAGCGCTGAGTAGCGTACGTCACACACCGCAACGCCGAGTTTGTCATAAACATGGCGACTGAAACAGTTTGCTGCGGCTTTCCTCTGTTCTAAATTACTTGATTTTTTTTAAAAACCCCATAAGTAGAAGTGCTAAAAGCCTTTCTTCAAAAAATAAAATAAAAAAATACGGTACAATCGGCATTTCCGTCTTCTTCTGATTGGTTACTTTGAGCTGCCTAGTCCCGCCCCTCATGTGCCTCTCTGCCTGCGAGTAACCAGACTCATTCTCTGCGCAGAATTAAACAGAGGACGAGTCTGGCAGGACAGGCTAATAATTTCCAGTAGCTTAGTACTGAACATGTTAATGACATAAGTAAAATTTGGTTCCATTAAATATTTATTACCTAGAAATATCATATAGAAACTACACAACTCCAGTTTAATACATATTGAGCATTTTATCATTTTGTTTTTATCTTCATATTTTAGCAGCAGACCACAGTCTCGTTTCACTTGAAACGTTGTCAAATAGAATATTCAATGATGGCAGCCCTAGTGCGTACCTCCTCTGCTGTTGGCCATCATGGTTAGTTGACAGCCCACGTTGATCATCTCCTGAAGGAAAGCTGGACTTTTCCTCACCACAAACCTCTGATCTGATGCAGAAACAAAAACATAAAGTTTTAAATTAATTTATGTGTCTAAAAGGAGAATGAATCCATCTGGAAACACCATTTAACTGTTCTTCTCCTAGACTTTTTAACAGTGAACCCACCTTTTCTACTACAGTGAAAGAGTACATTCGTGTAAACCAAATTTAGTGAACTGAGGTCAAAACACCACTGAGTCCTAGGGCTGGGCGATATGGCAAAACAGAATATCATGATTTTTCCAATATTTTATCACGATTTCGATTTTATCACGATTTTTTATCCATGAATAGCAAAACTTCAATTGCGTATTAAAGAAGAGAAACATTGAATAAATAAACATTTATTCATATTAGGGATAATCAGCACAGTGCTAACATACTTATATTTTAAACTCACACCAGAGATGATAAAAGCCCTGAGAGAAACAATTACAAAAATCAGTTTTTCTCGTTTTTCAAGTAACTTAACATAAATTAAAATCGTAAACATATTTAAAGTGCAAACATGTCAATTGCAAATGTATTGTGCAAACATTAACTTGTTCAAAATACTATGTAGCTCCCAGTTGCTCATGTAGTGGATAGTTAAGCTCAAATACGGCTCTGATGTGCGGCTGGACCTTGTGGTAGCAAAAAACTGCGCATTCTGAATATTTTCTGCAACTCTCACTTTGCATTCAGCGTACATGCGTGGAATGGCGGTGTTCGAAAAATACTTGCGGCTGGAAAACTCGTAGCGCGGATCCAATGTTTTTATCATTTTCTTAAATCCCACTCCTACTGTTCGCACGGGACACAAATCTTTAACCAAGTGGTACGTCACTGCATCGGTCACGCTGTTTCATCGTCTGCTGTCTCTGTCGTAGGGAGTGAGTTCTGTTAGCGTTTGCTGCCAGGAAGAAGCACTAGCCGCTGCTGCCGCAGGCTTTTTAGCTTTAGCTGCCAGCTGGCTGTCATTGTATTGTTTGGGATGCCTTCTTTTCAAGTGATTAAACAAGTTTGTGGTGTTGCCATCACTTGCCTTGATGCTCTCCTTGTAAATGACGTTTCGCTGCTCTTTGTCATCTGGTGAAAAACCAACCCAGTTCCATATAATGGACGAGGCGTTCCTCTTTGGAACGAAAACCTCGTTGTCGCTCTCAGCCGCGGCCGAAGCCATGTTTGTTCACACACAGGTGAAAACAAGCGGGGCATTAATATATTACTATGACTCACTCTGATTGGTTAAGGGTCAAACAAAGGCGTGTCATTCACCTGAGGTAAGTTCCCGTTTCATTCAGAGGCAGAATTTCAACAGTAGAGCTGTGAATCGTGATAAAAAGGTCTCTCAAAAATGACAGGCCGTCAGATGTGTAGATCGTAAAACGGTCTAAAACCGTCATATCGCCCAGCCCTACTGAGTCCTACCTTCCTCTAACTCCTCCGACACCTCCATACGGGCCAGGTGAGCCAGCACCAAGACTCTGGCCTTTAGGCTGTAGGGATAACAGAACGGAGGCTCCTTCTTCTTTACGTTGATGTTTCCTAGCTCACGGATCAACTGCAAGCCAAACAGGAAAAACTCTGAATTATTTTCATCTTTTTTAGCTTCATACAGAAACAACCTAATCAATTAGTGGCTGTACCTACAGAGGGCAACCATTTAATAAAAACGTAATCTTAATCTCTGATTAAGCCAACAGCGATGCTGAACGTTACCTGTGGCACTTCAATGTTGTCTGTGGGTCTGATGGTGGCTTCTTTGTTGCTACGAGGATCAAACTCAAATGCTGCCGTCAGCACCATGGTTAAACCTGGATGGAGGGAAGATTTGGTCAACATTAGAATAGAATTCTGATCTTTCCACTCATTAATCTCGATGCTTCTTCATTCAAAGTGTTTGAATTTTCCTGGGGGGAAACTCACGCTTCATGTTCATGTTTGGCGTCTTGTACATAAAATGCATAAAGAGCTGGGTGGTGCTGATGAGGATCTGGTCTCCGCTGTATCTGATGGAGCGGTACCACCACGTGCCCTGAAGCAGAGGGACAAACGAGGCAAAAAGTTGGAATGAAAATGTTTTGAATCTGGAGGAATTCAGTGTAGGGACATTTTAACGTTTTCAAACAGCGCAGAAACGTACCACCACTACAGGGAGGATGACCATGAAGGCAAGTCCGTACACCAACAGCACCTACGGCAGGAGAAGCTCAGAGTCACATCCATAGTGTTTGGTTATGCTACGATTACGTTTCATCAGTAATCAAATTACCAGCATCGAGTTCTTTTGGTCAACAATCCAGGCAGGGAGGGCGATACCAAAACTGGTGGCTAGAAAAACATGAGATAATAAGTTTGTTAAACACAAAGCATGATGACTAATCTGATCTTTAAATTTAAGGGGGCCATATCATGGAAAATCCACTTTTTGGAACTTTTTACCACGTGATATTTTTTTCCTCATGGAAAAAAATAAACCCAAACCCATTTTAGGCTGCATTCATGCATTTTCATGTTTCAGCTGCTAATTTTGAGTTTTACTTTGAAACTCTTGTAAGCGTCAATGGACACTAGTCTTGTCATTAGGCCCTGCTGCTCTCCCAGAAGCTAGTCAATCAATCAAAAAACTTTAATCATCCCCGAGGGGCAATTGTTTCAGTACAGAAGAATTGGTACTGTGGTCATTCGCAACAAGAGTCGCGCTACCGTTAGATAATAGATGAAGAGGGGATTACATGAGGAGGATTGGGGGAGGGAAAAAAAGGCAGAGCTGAGTTACACCCAGCAGGGAGTAGCTCGACTATGCAAAAAAACACCTCAACATGTAAGCACGAACGTCACAGTTCACAACATGAGACCCGGTAAGGGGGGGGGCTGGGATCCTGGTTTCCTCAGTGGGAGCAGCCCGTGTGGCGCTCGGCCAACTGAATCCACAGGTGGGTGGGAGGTCATGGGAAAGCACAGAGCACATTGAGTGCCTCCATTTTGATGACCTCGCTGCAGAGACCACAATCTGAAGGCGGGGGGGTAGGTAGGGTTTTCACTGCATCTGTATGCATTCCTTCCATCGTGGGGGTTGTTGCACGCAACTCCAAGGCTGCTTGTGGCGTCAGATTGGATAACAGGACTTTGTTTGAGTCAGGCAGAGATAATTTTCCTCTCTGCCTTAAAGTCTGTATTGATCATTCAAGTCCTCCAGTGAAGCCAATTCGGTGATTAAACATCTCCACACTGTCCGGTGACCCTCTCCGAGATGACATCCATTTTGCGCACTAACACCGGTAACGCAGCTAAGACATTGTCCAGCTTATGATTCACCTCGAGTAACGTCCCAGTCTGTGAGGTCTCCGCCCGGACGGTGCCGTCCATGGGTGCGGGTCGCCCTCCAATCGCTCCAGTCATCCCAATTTTTCGGAAAACCAGATATCCTCCCACTCCAATCAGAAGAAATCCAGTGATCATCAGGACAAATATCCACACATCTTCGACGTCCTCAATGGACAGCTGAGAGAGACAGATGACATTCCACTTCTTCCAGGAATCGAGCATATATCCCGCTGCGTGTGTCCCGTGAGGGCAAGCGCGAGCCCCCTCCTCCATTCTCATCGTAGAGAAAATCTTATCAATCGCGTTGAATGACCAATTAATTAAATCAATTTCTGAAAAATAGTGATTTCCAGAGGAAATGCAGAGAAGCGCTCTGTAGGCAGACGGGACAAAGAGCCTTGGGAAAAAAGATGAGGGAGCAAAAAGGGAAGCGTCTGTGCTCTGTGAGTGCCAGAAGTCTCTTGTCTGAAGCCTGTCTCCCCAGGTCAGCACAAGATAAAACTATCGTCATGTAGTCACAGTTGTAGGCACGTTTTGTCGGAGGCGTGGGCGGAGCTTCACTGAAACAAAGCATTTTATTTCTGAGTATAAATTCAGGCTGACAATAACTTTTATTTAAGATAAATGATATTCCATGATATGGAACCTTTAAAAGTAGCTAATAAAAAAGTGTTTGGCACTAACTAACCATGTAAATAAGTGTGAAAGAAGAAAAGAAATGATGTCAAACATTTTTTTTCTCGTGTCAACAAGAAGCCGAGTCATGATCGTAACTACTAAAGATGTCTTCGTGCTAGCAGTTTAGCTTACCTCCGGGGCCGTCGGGGTTTCCGTACATTTCCCAGTTCTGCCGAGACTCGTCGTTGGTTAGTCTGTGGAAGAAGAGGCAAAACATTTTAGCAGCCAAGTCTAAATGACAAGCTGCAACAAAGTGATTTCTGTTTTCGACGGACTGAAGTTAAAGTCGGGGGATCACGTACGCAGAATGGGCTTTGACGATTCTCATGAATGTGGCTTCATCTCCACCTTTGTCAGGGTGGTGCTTGAGAGACAGTATACGGTATTGCTTCTTAATTTCTGACACTGACGCACCCTGGAGACAAAATACAGTCAAAACAAACTGTTACTACAGTGTTTACATTACTTCTATTTAAATCCAACACAAATGTGTCAAATGTCTAGAAAGATCACAGATTAATGAAGATTCCGTTTGTATGAGAGAGAAACGCGTGGGTTTACCGGGTCCAAGTTGAGGACTTCATATGGATTGTATTCCTGGTACTCCCTGTCCAGTTTGGAGACCTTGTAAGCCAGCAGCAGGAACACCGCCCACCCAAACAGCAAAGCTGCTTTCCTGAAAACGTCCAGAGGAAAACCACCAGATGGGTTTCCATTTTTAAGAACATCTTCACATTGAGGCTTACACCCCAGTCACACAGCTCACATTCAAAGCATTCATAAACATTTATTGCAGAAAATAATTGTGTGTTTTAGAGTTTAGATTCCAGTCTCATGACTTCCTGTAAACAAGTTTTCTCAGCAGGACTTTTGAGGGATTTCTTGCCCGACGATTGTAAATGTGGGTAGTGGAGTTAGAGAGGGCCATGCCCACTAGTAGTAGTGGCAAATATGTGACTATGGATGAAATGACTACTGGTATTACTGTGGCAAACTGGCTTAATATTTAGCTTGCTGTAGTCCCTGAAATTAGCTTTTTTTTTTTTTTCCTTTGCTTAACCCAGCTCTAGGTTCTTTCAGTTTTGTGACAAGAGGTTACAAGGGTGCATATAATTGCTGGAATAGCTAAAACAAAACTTTATTTGGTTTAAAGAGTCATAATTCTATGTTGATTTCAGACGTTGCCAGAGGAGTTAACTTAATTGCCCATCTCATAACCTAAGGGTTGTGGGATGAAGTCCCTAACCTCCGTTAGCATCCATTAGAGGTGCTGAAAAAAATCGATTCAAGTCTGAATCGGGATTCTTATTTATAAAGATTCTGAATCGATTCACAAAGGCTCAAAATCGATCCCAAGAACTCAAATATTTGGCATGTTACAGGTTTGAGATGCACTTTTCTCAGTTTTTTTTTATATCTTCGTTAGGAGAGTCAGTACTCTGTTTACTTTTGTGGTCCCATAAATTGAGATGATTTATGTTTGAATCTCCTGATAAGAGGGCACTTGAATGTAATTTTTTCCATACTCATTAATTTGAGATATTCTCATATTTATTTTCTAAGTTGATAAATGAGTACTCAGGATTACTCATGTAACTTGTTTCTACACATACTTGAAAAGTATTTGACCATATTACTTTCAAAGCTACTGTTAGGTAACTAAAGATTTGTTATATTTTACAAGGTAAGCCTTAGTCATCTGAAATGCTCAAAAGGGAGGACATAGGACTCATTCCTATAATAACTTTCATTGCTAGGAGACGGGAGTGACGAGAGAGGAGATAAACAGATTTTTGGTGAGAACATATAAACATGCCTTACTTGGAAACAAAGCACATGTGAGAGGAGATGTGACCAGAGCTGCTGGATACTGAATGTTCACATGTAAACACTGGAGGAGGATGTGGTCAAAGAGTAAGAGGGCCAAGTAAACGAACCACACAAGGTAATAAAAAGGTGATGCTCTAGAAATATTTACTCCACAAAAACATGCAGGCTTGAATCTTCCTATTAAACATGGCCTCGTTTACACAGAAGGGTGAAAACAACGCTCTCAAGTTTCAAACAAAACCATAACAGCAAAAAATAAAGAAAGAAATGAATCCAAATTAAACAACACTTAAGCATTGAAGACCTTATGACACAAGAACTAAAAGAACAAATCCAGTTCTCTGGACTCACTTTAGAGTTGGGACAATGCTTTGCTGTGATTTCATCAACCTGAGCCGATACCACAGACACCTGCCGTGAACCCGCCGCAGGCTCTTTAGACGCAGTTGTTCTATCAAGAAAAAGAACAGGAACAGGTTAGCAACACATAACCAACGTCACATCAGCTAGATTTCCTTTAGCATCAAACTCACTGGTAGTGATTTGTACAACTGATATGAGAAACTGGTCACCAGTCAGCGATAGAGGTAAACATTAGTTTTAGTTACATAAGAGAATCTGCTTTCTAGGCTGGCAAAAAGATAACAAACGGCTGACAAGAACACATCAGAACAGGGGTCAACAAATAAAAACTCGAACAGGAAAAAATGTTTTCAAGCTTCAGATTAAGCAGGAGAGAATAACCGTAATCTCCATAAACAATGTGCAAATGTTTTAAATTATTTATTTTGATTTTTCTTCCAATGAGATCACTTATCTGGTCAATTTTTACCTATTAATTCCTAGTGTTTTTTTAGATGCCTTATAGTCTTTTCTGTTTAGTTATTTACCCAATCATAGAAAATTTTAAAAAGTCGAGGACAAGAGGAGAAGCATTAAGCAGAAATTGGTTCACATAGCAGTGTTAATGTCAACACACAAACAAATAAATAATAATCAACATTCCTCTGAAGACTGTTGAGTAGTTGACTGAAAAGAATAAGACAGTCAAAGTCAAACGAAAACTTCAATACTTCCATAAAGCCTTAAGAATTAGTTTTACAAGAAAGTCCGACTGATTTGAAGCAAAATATATAAGAAAAAAGTGAGATGATTGAGACGACATTAGCTTCAGCTGCACGCTGTTGTATTGCCGGGCTTCTTGAGCAACGTAAGCAAATTAACAACAAGCAAGCAGTGGAACATTTACAACCAAAAAGGTGCATAAACGTTTGAACTGTAAGGGGTTAGCTTGTTACCAGTAAGCTAAGCTAGCACAACAGGCCTTACCAGCATTCTGATCCCGCGGCCAGAGATAATATGTAGCCGGGATCACAATAAGTCCGACGAAGGACGTAAGGAAATAGAAAAAGGTGTTGCCGCTGTCATCATACTGGAACTGCTGTCCGGCCATTTCGAAGCGGCTCAACAGTCGCCCTTCTTCTCCACCGCTGCGTGTTCCCCTTCGAACCCGTGAGACTTCACAACGCGTTAGCTAGCCAGCTAGCATCCAGCCAAGAAAGCTCGATGCGTCGGTGTACGTGGTGTACGCATGCGCAATGCCATTTCTCTGTTTCTGTTGTGACTTCTGAGTGGGTAGTGACAATACTGACTCCTAGCGCAAAGCTAAGGGAATGGAACACTTTGAACTGCATAAAAATTAGTGTTTGGAGTTTAATCGATGATATGGGCGTATTTCTTTTAGGGGGAGCGGGGTGGACATGCACCGCACTGCCCCCCCCCCCCCACACACACACACACACACTTTTTATAAGGCCTTAAGGATCCACATTAAATTTATATTTATTTTTACTGAAATAAGGTAAAATCTCATGTCAATGAGGTCTAGTGACCAGACATTCCAAGTATGAGTTTAAAATTTGGATCCATGAAAAAATAATATGCGGTTGTAATGTAGTAAAGTTTCAAAGTATATCACATAATCTTAAAAGAATAGAATTGCAGAAAAAAAATTACAATCTGTTTTTCGGAATGTTGCTACTCGACGTTATTTTGAACACACTTAATACAAAATTTCTATAAGAGTAAAAAATAAAAAAATAAAACCAAACACATATAAAAATATTTTGTTTAGTTTTAAAACAAAATGTGAACTATCTCTGAACTTCATTTCTGATTTTTATTGTAATGCAAATTTGCACTTTTATTTTGATAATGCATTAATAGCCATTAACCTTGTGCTGCAAGATGAATTCTAGCGAGATTTGGAGTTTTCCAAACTAAAGAAAAATGTGTAGACTCGACACGGGGTGGGGCTACACATAGAGATCTGCATGCTGCCAGGTTAGATAGCCAGTGATAAAAACACTACATTTTATATATTTTTCTACATTTTCAACATTTGTTAGAGTAAGTGTATGACCTTAAAAATGTTTAATTTATCAACCTGTAGAATCTAAACATAAAAATACTGATTCATGCTTTACATCTTGCTAAGAGTAAACCATAATTGGACCTTTTGTGGACATTAGATGTTAGCTCTGAGATTATGTGGTCTAACAAAAATTCTAATGATGAAAAAAATAAAATAAAATACCAAATCAGTATGTCGTAGGAGAAATTACAACATGTTGAGTTATCAGTTGTATTTTTGCACAGGGAAAATACACTAAAAAGGAAATAAGTCACGTCATGTTCCAACTCAGGTAATAATTAACAAAAGATTTTCAACCTCTGACCTCATCAGGCAACATACCAAGTTCTGTGCATCTCTGCAGGTATTCAAACACAATGCTTTGTGTGTTAATAAAGACATTTATTTAATTGTTTTAAAAATAACAAAACAATGCTTGATTTTAAAGGTTTTATGTTGCGTAACTATCCAATGGGTTACCAAAAAAAAGTTTTAGCAAAAGCGTTGGCATTTTTATTGAAAGGAATAATAAACAAAATTTTGCTTTAAAATATGTTTTCATTTGTTTAGACATGGACCATTATATCCTCCAAATGCTTGCGCTTCAGGTCTGGCACAGTGGCGGCGGCGGCGGCATAACCAACAGGAAGTAACATCAGGAGCTTCTCATTGGCTGGCCGTTTAAGGAGGATCCTGAGCTGGGGGCCACAGTTAAGGGGTGTTGTCGTGACGGTGACAAGACCTGCATTCTGATGGAAAAATGAAGAGAAAACACATCAATTCACCTGATTATTAAACCCTTTTATGAGTGAATGAGAACCCTAGCTTGAATAACTTCCAATATGATCGAAAGATCAATTTGGTTACATTAAATTCCAAATTCCAGGACACTTGGGGGTATTTTTAGGGGACTGGATTTTTTATTTTACCTGTAAAGATGCCAGTAGGATCCCACAGGATATAGAAACACTGATTTCATTGTAATAGTGAGTCTCCTTTTTGCCATTTGGTAGAATCCCATAAGTTTGCTTGAATATGAGGATCAGGTATGGAGCCACATCCAGATACTCCTTAATCCAATTTGTTCTGAAGGAAGAAGAAAACACTGTGAGCATTTATACTGGAACATTTGGACAAAACTGTGGAATGAAATGGATGTTCACCTAAATTTGGCCAAATCGTGGACCCACTTATCCCCCATTCTCTGTCGGTAGTTCACCTCCTCCTCTTTCTCCACGATCAGTCGGACCTGGTGCTTTGTCTCTGGATCTGACACCACAACAAATGTCCAGGGCTCCGTGTGAGCTCCACTAGGTGCTGTTCCTAATCAGAGGAAATGAAAAACACCCTAGAAGATCCTTTAAATGATGACCACATAATTTGGTTTAAAATAATCTGAGAAGTTTTTCTCTTGCCTGCCGTGAGAATGATGTTATCGATGACTTCTTTTGGGACCGGCTCAGGACTGATGAATCGGACAGACCTTCGCTGGTTCATCAGGGTGTAAAAATCCTTGGACCTCTGCAGCATTGTCTCCTCGCAGTAACGAGGAGGTGAGTAGGGCACGTGTGGAAGGTCGTCCTCTTCATCATTGTCCACCCACTCATCCTCATCTGCAGGGATGACAAGCAAATCAGAATCAGAATCAGAATCAGAAAAGGTTTGTTGCCATTGTCAGTGAGCAAACAATTCACAAAGGAACTTGCTTTGGTACTAATGTATACATATAACATGAATGGAAATGGAAACGGAAACGACTGGAGAATTGGTCTGTCAGTGCGCCCCAGGGCAGCTGTGGCTATCTATCTCTGTGTGTGTGTGTGTGTGTGTGTGTGTGTGTGTGTGTATAAATACAGAGAGAGAGAGAGAGAGAGAGAGAGAGAGAGAGAGAGAGAGAGAGAGAGAGAGAGAGAGAGAGAGAGAGAGCTAGTCTCTACTACAAGTTTTTTTCATTATAATCACCACAAACTATTATCCCACAAATGTTTTTAACAGTTTTCAATTCCATTAAAAACAGACCTTTCTTATTAGTGCTTCATGTAAAGTTGAATTATTTTTTATGTTTTTATTTAGCTAAAATTGATCAGTAAAAATAGAAAAAGTAAAAGAAAAGTTTGAATTTTCAAGTAACTTGATGAAATTTCAACACTTCTGTCATATTGCAGATTTCATAATACATTTCTGCCTATTAGTAGTACTTAACACTGTTTCTCCATTTCTCAATTAATGAAGGTAAAACAAAAAAAACATTTTATGTCTTGGCTTAAAAAATTTTCCTAAGTAAGATATTAAGGTAATGAACTCTATGTTTAATGTTGTTTAAAATAAAACATTTCTAATCAAGGATTCTTTCCAGATGGGCTTTTTAAAGTTTCCTTTTTTGGAAATAAAAAATAAAATGGCGCTGCATCTAATGAGGAAAAAGAATCAGTCGCTCAAAATAACCGCATATCTGTTCAGCTTTGACTCACCTCTCTCTGTAATTTCTGTATCATCCTGTAAATCCTGGTCCACCCATGGTCTAAAGTCCAATTTTGAGGCTTCTTTGTCTTTCCCAGGGGTTCTCGAAGTCTCCCGAGATCTCAGAAATACAAATCCTATCACCAGGCACAGAAGCAGAGCGAGGACGGGCGTGAGGACCGACAGCAGAGCCATGGCTGCCTGTGAGACGAGGACAGGACACGGGACGTCTGAGTGGACCTGTCTCTCTTGTTGTCTGAAGGGGCTTTTACCTGGAGCTCGCCACTTAGATTCAGTCCACAGATTCAGTAGGGCCTCAGAAAATCAGACCAGGATAAAAAACTGTTCCAAATCTACGTTTCAAAGTCCTGCTGGAAAGTTAATATTCTACCTCATGACTCCTCCTGTGATCATCCGTAAATGTAAATCTCAGATACAACAGATTCTCAACAAATAATAATCTTTAATAATGCAAATAAAGTGAGACTTTTAAATAAAACAATCACTATTACATCTTAAAATCCAACATTTTAAAGAAACTTTAATAATGTAAATGCAATGCTCTAAATGACCTGATTCTGAAAAACTGTTTATAATGGTCTTTTTAACATTTTGGCCCAAATTAACAAATTATTTTGTTCTAGATAAAGTATTTATTAATCAGCTCCTCTAAATCTGAGACCGTGGTCTTGAGTCTGAAAAGGGAAGAATGCCTTCTCCGGGTCAAGGATAAGGTCCCGCCCCAAGTGGAGGAGTGTTTCTATGTTTGTAGTAGCCAAATCTCTTTGGCAAGATTAGCATTTTCAAAAACAATCTGCAGTTTTAAATCTTTTAAGGGGTTTCTGCCCATGGATTATTTTGTACTTAAGTGTCAAGTGGGATTTTTATTTATAATTATTGTGGTATTATTATAGAATTGCTTGATAAATGTAATATGAAAGTTAATAATTGTTATATTATCATTACCAATCAAATGTTTAAAATTTGAATGGATTTGAGTTTTTTGAATATTATTTAATGTGTTGGGTCTTAAAGGGTTGTATCTCGGGGTCTTGTTCATGAGTGAGGAAAAAATGAAGCGTGAGATTGGGGCTGTGTCTGCCGTAATGCGGGTGTTGTGCCGGTCTGTCGTGGTGAAGAGAGAGCTGAGCTGGAAGGCAAAGCTCTCAATTTATCGGTCGATCTATATTCCTACCCTCATCTATGGTCATGAGCTTTGGTGACCGTAACAACGAGATCGCGGATACAAGCGGCCAAAATGATTTTTTTCCACAGGGTGGCTGGGCTCTACCTTAGAGATAGGGTGAGAAGCTCGGTCATCCGGGAGGGGCTCGGAGTAGATCCGCTGCTCCTTCACATCGAGAGGAGCCACTTAAGGTGGCTCAGGCAAAGGATGCCTCCTGAACGCCTCCCTGGTGAGGTTTTCTGGGCATGTCAAACCGGAAGGAGACCTAAAGGAAGACCTAGGACACGATAGAGGGACTATGTTTCTCGGCTGGCCAGGGAACGCCTTGGGATTCCTCCAGAGGTGGAAAGGGAAACCTGGGCCTCCCTGCTTAGGCTGCTGCCCCTGCGACCCAACTCCAGATAAGCAGCCAAAAATGGATGGATGGATGGATAAAGTATTAATTTAACAATACAAAACTTTTGCATGAAAGGGAAAGGAGCATAGAAACGAATCTGAGGATCATTTATTCAGCTGATGAAAACTCTTCAAAGAATTTAACAATGGTATGGCCTGCAGGATGTGGGTTATGGTTTTGCTGCGCACATTTGGGATTTTCTTGTGCATCTCACAAGAAAACTGCAATTTGAAAAGGCTTTGAGTTAATTTTCTTTATATTTTATTACGAAGTCTTTTTTTGTTCTTAAGAGAAAAAACCCCTCAATAATTGTTAATATTACTTCTAACGAGTTCAAGAAAATCTTGATGCTCAGAAGCAAACTACGAATAACCGGGGAATTCGCTGACCAAGATGGCGCCGGTGTACGTGGCAAGCCGTCTGTCTCATGTCGGATATTTTATCTTTTTATTATTTTTGAGTGTTTTCGTGTGTAATGTGACTTTGTTGCTGACTTATGACCGAGAGGCTCTTCTAGAACTTCGGTCGGCTGCTGGCCTGGTGAAACCGGGTGCTTGGACGGGCTGGAGGAGTTCCGGTTTTTCGTCCTCCTGCCAGTGCCGCTCGGCACCACCGCTTGTCCCTCGACGGCTCCTGGATCGGGCTAACTGGAGGAAGCGTCGTAGGGGTCGTGGAAGGCGTGGTGGACGGCGGGTGAGACTACGGTCCAAGCTGTCACGGTCCTGTAGGGAGCTTGCTGAGCTGACGGGTATCAGCTGTCATCTTGTGGCGCCATCACGCCTGTTGGAGCCGGCCCCGTCCTGCCTCGTGCCGTTGGTGGGGTTTGAGGAGGAAACTGCGCACCTGCGCTTTCGTCCAGTGTCTCGGTACCGATGGAGGGGAGTCAACCCAGCGAATCTCCACCCGGTGACCTGTACGGGGGTAGCACCCACGTCCCTGGGCTTAAACAGCGCTGAGCCGACGACTCCACATCTCACACGGCTAGGTCTGGTCAACGCCAGGTCGGTAATGAATAAAACTTTCATTTTGAAAGACTTCTTTGTTGCACAGGGGATGGAACTCCTGTGCATATGTGAGAGCTGGCTTCCTATGGGAGATTCGAGTGCTTTACTGGAACTACTACCAGTGGGTTGTAGCTGTTTTAATGTCCCGAGGTCTTCTGGCAGAGGCGGTGGACTGGTTGTTGTCTATAAATCTCACTTCAGCTGTAAACAGCTTATTCCGTGGAATCCTCCTTCCAGCTTTGAAATGTGCCTGTTTGAACTTGGCCCACCTCCTCTGTTGCTCGTGGCGTTGATATATCGTCCTCCTAAATTTGAAGTGGACTTTTTAAAGGACTTCTCTGACCTCCTGTCTGTAAACATGCTAAAATATGATCATGTTTTGATTCTTGGTGATTTTAATATTCATGTGTGTTCGAAGGATCTTTCATGGCGGTTAAAACGAAGAGTCGGAGTACCCGGCCCGGAGGGTTACCGGGGTCCCACCCTGGAGCCAGGCCTGGGGTTGGGGCCCGTGAGCGAGCGCCTGGTGGCCGGGCTTTCGCCCATGGGGCCCGGCCGGGCCCAGCCCGAACCGGATACATGGGCTCGTCCAACTGTGGACCCACCACCCGCAGGAGGAACATGAAGGGTCCGGTGCAATGTGAATCGGGTGGCAGACCAAGGCGGGAGCCTTGGCGGTCCAATCCCCGGACAAGAAAACTAGTTTTGGGGACATGGAACGTCACCTCGCTGGCAGGGAAGGAGCCGGAGCTTGTGGCAGAGGTTGAGCGGTACCGGCTAGATATAGTCGGACTCACCTCGACACATAGCATTGGCTCTGGAACCCGAGACCTGGAGAGGGGTTGGACACTCTACTTTGCTGGAGTTGCTCCGGGTGAGAGGCGGAGGGCTGGGGTTGGCTTTTTGTTAGCCCCGAGACTCTCTGCCTGTGTGTTGGGGTTTACCCCGGGGGACAAGAGGGTAGCTTCCTTGCGCCTTCGGGTCGGGGAACGGGTCCTGACTGTTGTTTGTGCTTATGGGCCAAATATCAGTTCAGAGTACCCACCCTTTTTGAAGTCCCTGGGACGAGTGCTAGATAGCGCTCCATCAGGGGACTCCATTGTCCTGCTGGGGGACTTCAATGCTCACGTGGGCAATGACAGCTTGACCTGGAGGGGTGTGATTGGGAGGAACGGCCCACCTGATCAGAACTCGAGCGGTGTTTTGTTATTGGACTTCTGTGCAAGCCGCAGTTTGGCCATAACGAACACCATGTTCGAACATAAGGATGCCCACCGGTACACTTGGTACCAGGGCAGCCTAGGTCACAGGTCGATGATAGATTTTGTAGTCGTATCATCTGACCTGCGGCCGTATGTTTTGGACACCCGAGTGAAGAGAGGGGCGGAGCTGTCAACTGATCACCACCTGGTGGTGAGTTGGATCAGATGGCAAGGGAACATGCCGCGTAGACCCTCACTATGCGTTTGGGTCTGCTGGGAACGCCTGGCAGAAGAACCTGTCAAGACGGTCTTCAACTCCCACCTCCGGCAGAGCTTTGACCACGTCCCGAGAGCAGTGGGGGACATTGAGTCCGAGTGGGCCTTGTTCCACTCTGCGATTGTCGAGGCGGCTGTTGCTAGCTGTGGTCGTAAGGTGGCCGGTGCCAGTCGTGGTGGCAACCCCCGTACCCGCTGGTGGACACCAGAGGTTCGGGGAGCCGTCAGGTTGAAGAAGGAGGCCTACAGGGCGTGGCTGGTCTGTGGGTCTCCGGAGGCAGCAGACAGGTACCGGATAGCCAAGCGGGGTGCAGCAGTGGCAGTTGCCGAGGCAAAATCTCGGGCGTGGGAGGAGTTTGGTGAGGCCATGGAGAAAGACTATCGATCGGCTCCAAAGAGGTTCTGGCAAACTGTCCGGCGCCTCAGGAGAGGAAGGCAGCAACTCGCTCACACTGTTTACAGTGGGGATGGGGAGCTGCTGACGTCAACTGAGGCTATAGTCGGACGGTGGAAGGAATACTTTGAGGAGCTCCTCAATCCCACCAATGCGCATTCCGAGGAGGAACCAGAGCTGGGAGGCCTGGGGATGGACTGTCCGATCTCGGGGGCAGAAGTTGCTGAGGTAGTCAAACAACTACACAGCGGCGGAGCCCCGGGGGCGGATGAGGTTCGTCCTGGGTATCTCAAGGCTATGGATGTTATAGGGCTGTCATGGTTGACACGTCTCTACAACATTGCGTGGTCATCGGGGGCAGTTCCTAGGGAGTGGCAGACCGGGGTGGTGGTCCCCATCTTTAAGAAGGGTGACCTGAGGGTGTGTTCCAACTATAGGGGGATCACACTCCTCAGCCTCCCTGGAAAGGTCTACTCCAAGGTACTGGAGAGGAGGGTCCGATCGATAGTTGAATCTCAGATAGAGGAGGAGCAATGTGGTTTTCGTCCTGGCCGTGGAACTGTGGACCAGCTCTATACCCTTGCAAGGGTGATGGAGGGGGCATGGGAGTTTGCCCAACCAATCCACATGTGCTTTGTGGATTTGGAGAAGGCTTATGACCGTGTCCCCAGGGGCACCCTGTGGGGGACGCGCCAGGAGTATGGGGTGGGTGGCTTTCTGTTAAGGGCCATTCAGTCCCTTTACCAGAGGAGCGTGAGTTTGGTCCGCATAGCCGGTAGTAAGTCGGACCTGTTCCCAGTGAGGGTTGGACTCCGCCAGGGCTGCCCTTTGTCACCGGTTCTGTTCATCACTTTTATGGACAGAATTTCTAGACGCAGCCGTGGTGTGGAG